TGCCATGAAATTGTGTAACTACCACAATGGGTAGATGTGAACCATACTCCTGGCTACAGGCATCCAATTAGAAGCACCATTTAATCAATGATCCCCTTACAGGGTGGGCCAGGTCGCTCATGCGTAGTTGTTTCTTTAACCCTTTCCGCTTAGGGGTACGTAACCCAATAAACAAAGTAAGCATGGGCTTCCTGGTGCTTGCTAACAAATCTACAGGGAACAATTTCACGGGTTGTTTGTTTGTTTTTTTTTTGCTCTAGCAAAGATTCTGATTCGATATGACTGCCATCGCTCTCTGTCCCCCAACCCCACAGCACCTTTGTATGTAATCCAAGCCTCTTTTCCAGTGTCCAGTTCTTGAGAGGCTCGGAGTCCCAGTAGACAACGCACACATGGGCTTACTTGTGCTGATCGACTCACCTGTAGTTTCACGTGTTTGTCATCCTGTCAGCTGGTGGGAAATTGTTCACTATGGATTAGTCAGTGAGCACACATTCATGTTGATCTTGCTTACCGGGGAGTCCAGCCCTGCCGAGACTCTGAGAAAAGGAAAAAGGAAGCAACTGAGAGAAGCCAGTGAGTCCCCTTCCACTGTCACCACTGTTGGGGCCAGGATGAAACCCACGCTCATCTGCCACCAGAGCCCCGGAGCTTGGGAGCCAGAGGGCTACTTTGCCCCTCATTTGGTGGGTGGGCAGAAGAAGGGCATTTCCAGGTGATGGAATAGCATGTACACCACCCAGCCAGGAGTGCCTAGAATTCAGAGAGGGTGAGGAGGCAGGAAAGGGCAGAAGATGCTGACGGGTAGGGATAGCCTTGTTTGGTGGAAATGAGGTCTTTGGACGAATCCGAGGCCCGAAGAGAAGGGTGGAGACCTGGGTGGAAACCATGCACCTCTCCCAACTTCCTTTTCTTTGTGCCTCTTGCTTTAGCCAACTTAGCCCAGACCCAGGCTCTCCGCACTCCCCAATCCCCCTGTCACTCACAGAGAGGCTTCGGACCTCTTTTAATCAGAGACAGCCCAACGTGACCTTTCCAGCCCAGGGGACCATGAGCTGCCCTGTCATAGGACTGGCAAAAACAACCTTTTTCCATCTGTCTGTTTTCCAAATCATATTTCAGCCGGTGTCACTGCAGATTGTTCACTCCCGGGCGCACTGGCTTTAAATAGCAAATGAAAAAAAAACAACAATGCATTTTGTGGTTTCCAGTAAGATACTGTAAATCTACTCAGATAGTATTCTGGTGCAAACCATTTGTAGTGGCTGCACAGGGCAGTGGAATGGAACCGTTCAGGCAGGCTTGGGCATCCGTTGATTTCCGCTCACCGCTGGGACTGGTGTGGAGCTGGCCGGCATGGGGGCATCAGGGCATCAGCCGGGGCTCCCTTTCCAACTCGGCTGTGCTTCCATGAGCACGGTCCATGTGCCTGGCTCTTCACACGTGGTGGCCATTCCCGTTTCACAGGTGGGGAAGCTGAGATTCTAGAGCTGCAGTCCTGGCTCAGGCAGCCCACTGAATGAGGACGGGGATTGATAGGCTTTTTATCTGAGCTGAAGTCAGCCTAGCGAGTCCCAAGGGGGTGCTCCCCTGGATTGCCAGATGGACAACGTACGTGAGAGAGATGTGGGCAGTGGGAAGGGCAGGGGCTCTGTGTTAGGAGCCGAGATGCCCCTGTTCTTAGTGACTTCAGGGAAGTCCCCGGGTCTCTACCAGTCTGTCTTTTTAGGTGGTGAACTCAGGCATTGATGAGGGACCCTTGGATGCCGCATTTATGGCTCTGTTCTCTGACTCTGGGCCTGCTGGTGGGCCCAGCAAGACCTGGCCTCTGTTTCCCGCTCTGTAACATGGACTTGCGTGTATGACCTCCCTTGTTTGCTAAGGGATAGATTAATATGTTCTTCTAGGGGTCTGAGAAGGGAGCTTCGGCAATAACACACGGAATAGAGGCCAGAAGGGTGTGGGCCACCATTTGGTTGGAGTTTGGGGACCTTCTGTTCATGTATTGAGTGCCTGCTATGCACTAGGCCCTGAAGCACAGCAGACCAAAAACCCAAACAGAACAAAGAACACAAGCTCACGGCCATTGAGAGATTCCGACTCATTGTGACGCTGTAGGACAAGGGAGGTCTGCTCCCTAGGGTTTCCAAAACTATACATCTTTATTGGAGGAGACAGCCTCTTTCACCCAAGGAGCCACTAGTGTTTCTAACTGCTGACCTGGCGGTTGGCAGCCCAGTGAGTAACCCACTACTCCATCCGGGCACAAGATAAAGCGCTTGCCTTCAAGAAAATCACATTCTAGAGGGAAGAGGGTGGTGAGGGGGATAGGGGGAGCAGACAAAGGACAAATCGAAAATAACAGGTAGCAAGAAATACATAAAGGGAAACTTCTCGGTATTTCCCAATGGTCCCTGCAGTTCTGTCAATCATAGGAATTGTACGATTCATCGATTCATCGTGTTTGTTCGGCATCAACTCGATGGCAGTGAGTTTAGTTTTCGTTTGTTTTGAACGGGCCAGCTGGTAGCCATTTCTGTTCTAAGAGTAGGCACCTGTTAACAGGTGGTGACACAGCAGCTCGGAGAGGTGAAGTGGTCAAGTGATGTCTCCAAAGCCACCTACTGGCTGATCTCTCGTCCCCTCCTCCCCAACTCACAGCTCGGCTCCGATGGTGGACTCCCTATCAGCTCTGTTTCCTCTGCATGTGGCCATCTCTGGACGTACAGGGGCAGACAACTTAACAGCGACAACAATGATAATTGTCGACCTTAAGGGGAATCACATTTAGACATCATGGCTGAAGTTAAGGGTGAAATGCAGGACCAACAGCATAATAATGGCTGGCATTTACGGAGCCAGGCTGAGTGTCAGCACTGAGCGCAGCAGTTTCCCTTGCTCGGCATCATCTCTCCACGTGGCCCTCTATGTGCACGGATGCTGTTGGTAGCCCCAGTTCATAGAGGAGGCGACAGGGGCAGGAAGAAGTTCACCAGCCTAATGTCAGTGATGCAGCTGCCCAGTGAATGTCCAGGGTGGGGGTTACGGCGATCAATGGCGACAATGGCTTTGGGCGGTCCCAGGTTGATGTTGTAGGGCAAGCCAACACCAGTAGGCTTAGCAGCAACCCTCGAGCCTCTAATTCATGGACCTTAGCAACCAGTGCCTGCCCGCTGGAAGTTCTGCACTTGAAGGGCAGCCACCGCGGTCTCTCTGGGGCAGCCTTCACTTCCGAGACGGCTTGTTTCAAGGAGAGGGGACTGTCCTTAGGCACCCAATGAGGCTTCCCCCTGAGTGGGGTCCAGCTTGAACTCAGGAGACTTGAATGTGTCCAGGTGTGGCTGCCCTGCTTCCCACCTCTCTATACAGGGTGGAGGGGGTGGGGGTGGGGGCGGATCAGAGCGTGGGATCAGAAGCTCTCCTGACTGCCATTGCCTCTAGGTGTCTGTCACTCACCACCTACATTGTCCTGTGCTGCACAAGGGCCTCAGAGGAGCCTAGGGTGGTCACCAGCTCGTGGCAGAACAGGGCCACACACAGTTACCACAATGAGGTTGGGCTGGCAGCCCCCGTCTGCACTCCACTCACCCCTTTCCCCTGCCCCAGGGGTGAGCAAGGGAGAAGACTCACCAGTGACCGGCCCGGCTCCACTCTCGGTCGGATGGTCTCCTCTCCATTGCTCAAGCCTGGGCCGAGCCTCCTGTCCCTCTGAGTCATTGAACCGGTGGTGCTCGTTCTCAGTCTGCATGGGGGGCTTGTTGACAGGGTGTGGGCCTTGGTCCCGTGCCCACCGGTTGGGCAGCCTGGGCACGCCAGAGCCTCTCTTGATCTCAGCTTCTTCAACTGTAAGTAAAGAGAAATGAAGACCCCTCCCCTTCTTCCACAGCTAAGGCACAGTCAGTGCTGCCACCAGTAAACATTCTAATCATTTTATATTTGGGCGAGTTTGTCTAGCCCCGCCCCCACCCCCACCCCAATCTTTCCAAGTGCCAGGCCATCATCCAGTCTGTTGGGGGGAGTGGAGCACAGAGAGGTTAGGTGACGTGTCCGAGGTCTCACAGCCAGGAAGTGGTGGAACAGGGATTTCACTCCCGCCCCATCCTGTTCTTTTTCACACCACGGTCAAATTGTTCCTCTCTGGCTGTTCTCGAGGGTTTATTCTTACTCTTTGCTCCGTCCTCTGATGTGTTTTCCGCGTGTGACACCCTATGCATGTATGTGTGCGCCTGGGGACTCCCTAGCCTAGGATGAGTCCTCTCTGGGACCACCTGGAACATGTGGGCCTTGGTGGTTACAAATTGGGCTGCAATTTGAGAGGTCAGCAGTTCAATACCACCAGCTCCTTCTCAGGAGAAAGATGGGCTAAGAGCTTCACATGGACAAACTCTTGTCTCTGAGAGAACAGTGCTTCTGCTCTGTCCTCACGTTATTGGGGCACAGGGAGGGGTGGTCACTGGCTGAAAGTCGCAGAGCCAGGGGAGCGGTGTTACTACACCCAAACCTCTGGTACCGAGGCCTGTGCACACAAAAACCTGCTGGCCACCAAATTGATCCCAACTCCTGGCCACCCTCTGGGGACCCTGTGGGGTCGTGGGTCACATGTTGGCCTGCTCACCACAAGGTCACCAGCTGCTTCTTGGGAGAAAGATGAGGCTTTCTACTCATGCAAACAGTGATGGTCTCAGGCACCCCCCACGGGGGTGTTGCAGATGTGTCCCCTTCTAGTACCTGTGCAGATGAAGTGACCCTTGTGTACCTGCGCAGGCTGCCGGCCCGATGGTGTGGAGTGGGAACAGAGGGTGGTCAGCCACATGCCTTTCTCTTCCAAGGGTATCCAGCGACCCCAACCGCTGAATGAACCGGAAATGTGTGGGGGCACTGTGCTACTCCCCACTGGGAAGATGGCAGGGGAAGGAACAGGCATCCGGGAAGTGTTTGTGGAGCCAGCCATGAGTCCCCGTTCTTGACCCGGCCTTTCTTCTTTTCTCTCGCCCTCTCAGGGAGCCGGGAGGCTGCCTTCACCTATGCCATCATTGCCGCCGGTGTGGCGCACGCCATCACGGCTGCCTGTACCCAGGGCAACCTGAGTGACTGCGGCTGTGACAAGGAGAAGCAAGGCCAGTACCACCGGGACGAGGGCTGGAAGTGGGGTGGCTGCTCTGCTGACATCCGCTACGGCATCCGCTTCGCCAAGGTCTTTGTGGATGCGAGGGAGATCAAGCAGAATGCCCGGACGCTCATGAACTTGCACAATAATGAGGCAGGCCGGAAGGTAGGCAGCCAGGGCTTGGTAGAGGTGCGGCAAAGGGCTTTCTGAGAAAGGATGGCACTGGCTTTTGGGAGTGTCCCACAGGGCTCTGCCCTCAGCTCCCCCCTACCCCCACCCCCCATTCACCTTGACGAGGTGGCCTGTTGGCAGCTGGTCAGACGTTGTCCACGGCCCAGAGCTTGTTTGGACACTCAAGAGGCGACACATTGGATGTCACTGAAGCACTTTGGAACGAGCGATGAATGTGAGTGCGTACACCTGGATCCACAAACTCTGTTGCAGAGCGCCGTGCTTGGGGGCGGGGGTTGAGCCGAGGTGGATAGGAGTCCGTGGCGTTTGCCGCAGCTGTCAGGACAGCCTGCGTGTGCCGTGTGGGGGTCACCTTAAGCAAGTTAGGGAGCTCCACAGGAAGGAGGAGTCTTCTGTCTCTCCTGGCTTCTCGGCTTCATTGAGGAGAGAGTTAGGGATCTTCCGGGTGTTTCCAGTGGAGTTGGCTAGGGTAGCAAGGAGGCTTATGAGCCCATCTCCTGTCCCTGAGCAGGCCCTGAGAATAGAACCCACAGAGTAGGGGGCTCCATGGGGCAGACCCTGTCCCAGTAGAGGACCAGGACTGGTAGAGAAGTGAGCCCCCTCACCCCTCCACCCCTGAGCATGAGAGCAGAGGCTTAACTAGGGATTCCTGCCTACCTTGCCTAGTATCTGAGACTGGGCGTGAGGTGTGTGAGTGCCTGGGGGAGAGGGCGCACAGGAAGTATGGGGAGGACTCTGGGGTTGAGCTCCATAGAAATGGATAGGAGGGAGGGCTGGGTACCCACTTGGTGGGGGCACTGCTGTGATAGGAAACTGAATGTGGGCACCACCACCGTGGCCACAAACACAACTGCCCAGAGGCCTGGGCTGTGGTGAACCAGGGAACAGAGGCCCATGCAAAGGCCTTGTAGCCAAGCCGCTAAGCTCCTTGGATCTTAGCCTCCAGTCCTTCAGTGATGTCCCCTCATTTAAAAACACCGTCCACTCCCCATAATGGCTTTTTGGAAAAAGAGAGGTGACCATGGGAGCTCAGACCTAGTCCATCTCCTGCAAAAGATGCCCACCCCACCCCCAGGCTGCCGGGGTAGACTTGGGTGGCAGATGAGACACATCTCTTATGCTGGCCTGGAGCTTCCGGGCCAGGTGGTCTTGTGAGCACCAGTGCTCCTAAGAGGTAGGCACTCCTGCGACCCCACTTTGCAGGTTGAGGCATAGAGTGGTGGCGTCATTGGCTGCCCGTCCTCACCGCTAGCCCAGGACTTAGCTCCTGGCGCCTGCCTGCCCAGGAAGCAGAGATAGTGCCAGCATTCTCAGGGGGTGGGGTGGCGGCAGAGGTGGGTGGGGGGGAGAAGGAAGGAGGAAAGTGCTTACCCCAGAAGTTGGCACACAGTCGGCGCACACCGAGAGGTAGGTGCGGTTGCAATTTGTGTAAGTGTCACCGTGTGGAGGGAGCCATCGATCGATCGCTGTGAGGGAGGTGGTTGGGGAGTAAGTAGCCGCCACCTCAGAGGGAGGAAGCAAGGCCTCCCCAGGGCAGAGGGTGGCGCTGGATGGTGCTACTCCTTCCTCTCTGCCCCTTTCCAGCCCCCAGACACTTCCTGTTTCAGAGCCATCTGGGGCCCTGCTGAGTCACACCAGGGAAGGAAGGACTGAGTGATTGAGCAGCTCCCAGGGTCTGCAGCGGTGGCTGTCCTAGGAGCGTTTCAAGGGAGGCCCCACCTGGCTCAGCTTCCTGGAGTCTACCAGGACTGGGAGCTCCCTACCTCCTGCTATTCACTTATCTAGGTTTCTGGGGTCAGATCATCCCTCAGGGCCCAGGTCACAGGTCACAGCCCCACCCCGGCCTCAGTTTCCTCATCTGCAGCGACCTGGTGGGAGGATAAAGACACTTGGGGTGAGGACCGCTGAGTTTCCATCGGTGGAGGGTGGTTTGTGACTTGCAAGCAGGAGCCCTTGGGGGTAATGGTCGCTGTTGCAGGACAGTGTGGGGCACCCAGGTACGCTGGTGGGGACCCTCAAGCCTTCCGAGGTGGCTCTCTGCAGGAGATGGGCCTCGAAAGATGGGCGAGGCATGGATAGAGCCGGGAGATCCAGAATGAGGAGCCTGTGGACAGAAACCTGGAAGTGGGCCCTGAGGTCGGTTTGGGAGCCCTGGCTGGCTGGTGTGTGCGTCCCTGACCAGGTCAGAGCAAGTAGGAGGCCCACGAGGTCACTCGCTGGGCCAAAGACTCAGAGCCTCGAATGTCCTCCGAAATCTTCACTCATGTGGCGGCCATCTCCCCATTGCTCAGGTTTCAGCTCAGCGGTCCCTCCTCAGAAAAGCCTTTCCTTCTCCTCACTGGACATGGCTGTGCTGTGCTGTTGTCTTGCTCTGCCCCCTGCCATACCCAGACTGTCAGCCGGCACAGCAACTGCCCTGATGTTCATGCGCAGAGCCAGGCCCACAGGACGGCTGTGTCAATGAGGGGTGGCTGAGTGAGAATCTGGAGTCATGGGAGCCACTGGTGCTTTGGGAGCAGAGCGGGGTGGCAGTCTCCTGTGAAGCAGAGGGAGGCCGAGTGGGAGGGACAGGTGTGGGTTCTGGGCCAGAGCTTTGGGGAAACGTGCAGGCTGGGCTCGATCGGTGTCTCTGGAAGACACTGTTCCCCACTCAGGTTATCAAAGACGGAGGGTGATCCCAACCCCTCTCCCCCCCCACCTGCCCAGCTCCATTCTGGTTGCAAAGGGCCTGTCGGGGTGATGCCCAGGGAAGGCATTTCCGACAAGGACTGATGTGTTTTTCCTGAGGCAAGAGTTGGAATTTGTGACGACGACTCAGATGCACACATCTATCACAGCCAAGCCCTGTAGTGTTATGGGGTGGAACCGGAGACTTGGAGAGGATTGCAGCTGGCCCCTGCACCACCACAATCTGAGCCCAAGTAGGCAGGTGGGGGTGTGCCCCATCTCCACATCAAGGGGGCAGCGGCAAAGACAGCCCCCAGCTCCTTGGGAGTTTCCTCCCCCCTGGAGAGCTCCATTTCTCCATCTATCAAGTGAGATTAGGACCCCTGCCTTCTCGTGGGTCCCGGATGCTGGCCAGGACCAGATAAGGGTGCTCCTGGGTGATCTCCCAGTTGCTACAGAGTCCCATGTAGTCTAAAACATGAGTTCCTCCCCTCTAGGACCCCCACCTCCTAGAGTCGGGATGCCGTGGACCTCAAACGCTGTGGATTTGCCGTGGACCTCAAACGCTGTGGATTTGGGAGACGAGCAGAAGGAAGGGGGCCAGTCAGCTGCAGCTCAGGTTGAAAGTCTTGGAAAGGCTCGCAGATATATTTATCACCAGCTCCTCGCTCCTGCTGTGGGAGACAAGACTCAACCTGACCACCCGCTCTGGGGCTTGTTGGCAGCTGGAGTGAGAGAAAGGGGAGGGAGGGGGAGCCAAGGAGGGGTGTGTCCCGGGGCAGAGGTGGTGGCTGGAACCCTCGCCTCTTCTGAAGGGCTCTGGGTTGGCCAGCTGCGAAGTGGCCCAGAGGCTGTGTTCTGCGGCCCCCTTGGCCTGGGGGGGGAGGGGGGGCCATCCTTGCCTGGCAAGCTCAGGAGCCCTCACCATGTAGCTTCCTACCATGCGGTCCAGGCAGAACCAGGCATGGCTGGCCAATGCTGTGGCTCTGGGATCTGAGGAGGGGGCAGCCCCACAAGTGGATCTAGCTTCCCTCTTTCTTTCCCTTTATGCCTTGCAGTTGTGAGGTCTCAGGGTCCAACCATGGGATAATGAGATTGGTAGAACAGTCTGGCAACCCTAACAAGATATCAAGTTTAGGTTTGAGGAACCTATAAAGGCACTGAGAAAAATAAGGGTTCCAGGGGGAGGGGGAAGACAGTCGGGAAGGCCGGGTGAAGAGGAGATGATGTCAAGGAGCTCATGTAAAAAGAGGATGTTTGGTAGCAATTGTACCATTCTCCTTGACATGATTAAACTATGGAAGGATATGATTATCTATCTATCTGTCTATCTATCTATCTATCTATCTATCTATCTATCTATCTATCTATCTATCTATATCATCTATCTATCTAATCAAGCTTGCTGTCATAGGCCAGTGGTTATAGCAGTCTCTGCTCACCCACGGTTGGCCCCACCAGCCCCCCAGCTGGTTGGTTCGGGACAAGGAATCCCAGTGACACTGCCGACTACATGTCGGCCGCTTCACTGCAGTTCCAACCCACCAGTGTGCCTGGGAAGAAAGGCGAGGCTCTCTGCTCCCAGAAAGACTTCCAGCCTCAGAATCAACTTGATGGCCGTGGGGCGGGTTGCTTCTGTAGGATTTATAGCCACTATGGGGTGGCTATGAGTCAGAATAGACTCTGGGCTTGCGTTTTTGGGGTGTACTCTTGTCCAATAAATCACAATGACACAGCGGTTAAATGCTTGATGACAGCGAGATCAGGGGTTATCTGTGGGAGAAGAGTGTGGCAGTCTGCGAACCTGGGGGACCCTGCGGGACAGCTCTGCTTTGAGTCTGACAGCTCGATTCCTGGGAAGTCCAAGATACTCCTGTGTGCAAACTGATGTTTTGGTGGGGGTGGGGTGATGTTAGCAGTATACGCTCTGCTTTCTGGAATTTTCCGGCCATGGTGTCTTTGGGCTGAAGTCACAGACTGTTCAGGTGAGGATGTCAGGACATTCGGTTCCAATCCGAACACGTAGGATTTAGAGTCCTAGGATCTTTGGTTGAGAAGATATAGGCACCGGGACCTCTGCGTCAGGGACTCTTCAATGCCTGTGGGTCATAGCTTGTCGGTCTTTGGGAGGACTTGCCGAGTGGCCGTGGGGAGACGGCTTGAAGGACATTCTGACCCTCAAGATCCGCGGTTCTCAACCTGTGGGTCGCAATCCCTTTGGAGAGTCGAACGACTCTTCACAGGGGTCGCCCGATTCCTAACAGTAGCAAAATGACAGTTATGAAGTAACAACAAAATAATTGTAT